TATGAAGCTCTATTTGACTATTTTAGATATTATATTGTTGTCGTATACTATTCATTCAATAATGTTTCTATATCGCTATTTGAAGTGGTTAAAGGGTTGTTTCTCATATAGATATAATTCACACTCGTTGACTCATCTTTGCATTCTACTCTTTCAATTTTCGATGCACACAAATTCCTAACATGTCTTTATCGTTACAACTGGTAAATCACATTTTTGATTGAGTATATGATCAAATGATAAATTTCAATTTTTGCTTTCGCCGTTTAGCAACTATTTCTCAGAATAGATTAAATTTTATTTTATGTGACAATTAATATTGGATACTAGTTGGAATAAAGTGCATTTATAAAAATTTTAACTGAGTATCAATCAAAATATTTTTGATCGAAATTCGTAAGACAGTATATATTCATTTAGAGGAACCAGCAAATCAAACCATTTCCATATACTAGCCATTGAACTTTATCTCCAAAATTATCTTTACTCATTTCAAACATGAATAATCAATTAATTTCATTGGAAAATGTTTTTTTTTCAATCAATTTATGTCCATGAGTTAATCTATATTTTAGTGCACACTTCACAATAATCTATCAGTAAATCAGGAATAGAAATCTTGCATTAGTAATAAATCTGTGTCAATCTATTGATAATTCTAACTGAGCTAGTCAGAAAAGATCATTATAGAGAAAATAGAGAGTAGAGCAACGACAAACATGATTTTTTTCCTTCCGACTGATGTTGTGTTTGTTTGAGTAATTCTAGAAAGAGTGTGATGCTATATAAAATCTTTCCTGCAATGACAACTGATAATTTCTCAAGCAACTTAAATGAAGATATATCGATGAACGATCAATTTTACTCTTCTCAAATCTACAGACATTTTTTTGACAATGACTACAAACAATGTGAAAAGAAAATATATCCTGGAAGGTCAAACGTCCAGATCGAACTCGAATGTTATACAACATGGTATACACAATGCATGCGTTTCGTACGTGATGGTGAATTCTGTGAACATCATCGAAATCCATGGAAGGAATATCAATACTTTCTTTGGGTGAAAAATGAAACACTGCCTCTTCCATATAGACGCGTCCAAAGTGAGTATCACTTCCTATGTGTAACTGTAAAAGTTGTAGAGTTCGATGGGATGAAGAAGTTTGTTCTGAATTTTGTAGAATTGAATCATGTCAGATCTGAATGAGAGCTGAAAATTTGGGTAGAAAATTGTTTTTCTTTTTATTCTTGTTTGAAAAGAGCTCGTGAAATTATTTAAGAAAAACTTTATATTAACGATTCAATAAGATTCTTAGGAAAAAATTCAAAATGTCTTTACTTATATATATTAGCTGAAACAAATTGAGAGATCTACTTCCTAAAAATTTTCCTTTTAGTTTTTATATAAAATATTTGTACATAACTCAAAGAAAAAGAGAAACAATTCTATGTTAAATTTTAAGTAATAAAAGGTATTAGATATATACTATTCCGGATTTTTATCACTTCATTAAATCAGATCGATATATTTACTGCAGCATATGATTTTGATGCTGATATAAACAGCAATATCAGCCATTAGAAGTTGATTATTTTTGTTGGATATCAATCTGATGTAATAGCAGTAATAGAATAAAACTGAGAGTTCAACTTACAGATGTGCACTAGTCAATGTGATAATGATTCTATATTGCTTTTTTTATTCCACACATATATTGACTTTCCTCATACATTAGTTGTGTTATATGATAAAATTTAAACAAGTTTAACACTAGTAATTTTCAATTTTTATTCATAAAAAAACTCATTTATATGTCATATTCAAAACTATAGTATGGAGCTAAAATTTGAAAAAATTGTGGTGTTTGTCTTTAAGAAATGTACAACAACATATCGTTTTTGATTTATTTCATTGAGAAGGTGGAGATAGTTGCTCATTATAACTGATCTAACAATAGTGAAACTCTTCTTCTGAGAAGAGAAGTATAAATATACCATCTATCAAAAGTGTCTATGTACTATAAACGCTTAAGCAATTTGTAAATATAATATCTACTGATTCATTAGCCTTTCTCTCACGACAAGAATTTTTATGGTTGATGGGAAAAAAAGAGCTATACCAATTGTTCAGACTTCTGACTCGCGAAATTGGATCCCAAATCAGTTTTTTAGTATAGTAATGTGAAAGTTTTGATCCATCCATGATTAGAGTAATCTCAAAAACAAAGAGGAAATGTTGCCTTGTATTTTCAGAAGATGAAAAGCATATTAGAAAAAATATTGATAGAGAATTTCCAGGACCTCTTGTACAGTATATTGATTGACAAACTCATTTTGTATTTAGTTCTGATAGAGTAGGAATTGAGACAAATATCTATGAGAATTTATTGATTGCTATCGTCTGAAAACTTCAGAGCGAAATTAGTCGAAGTAAGCTACATGTCGAGCAGATTTCGATATAGAATGATTGAGAACTTTACGTGGATATATAAAACATTTGATGTTAATATATTGTCTTAGCATTTTCAAGTGGATACAGAAAAATCGACCTCCTACAATCGAACTTCATCAAACTGTACTCGTGATAAAGGGATGGAAGTGAACAACCATTTCAATGTAACTTTTACTTAATGACGACATTTTTTTTCCTTCAATTGCGCTTTAAATTATGTACACTATCGTCTCCAGCAGAAGCTGCCTTTAGAGAGACCTTTTACGCTCCAATTTAAAGCGACTTCAGATTAAGACCTTTGAACATCTGCCTGTAGTACTGACTGAAAAAGTTATCTTCTATCTGGTCCTACCGCGAAGAGTTGTAGTTTTTCACAACAGCTGTTGAAATCAACATTTCAATTTGGATTTTCCTCATTTTTACTGAACAAGATCTCACATCGGTAGAAATTAAATTGGAGTTGCCCATCTCTCCTATCAAATGCAAATGTTTTTTGCATATCCTTTTGATAATGCTTACATCAATGCTTAATTTTCTTTCCAGAGAAAAATCTAAAAGAACTGAGATATTTTATGCAAACCTAATTTCTTGAGGGTCTGAAGATTTAGTAATAATAGTGGTTCATATTAGCAAAAAAAACATTTTTTTCTCTCTAATACATTTCTGACTTTTCAGCAAATGGTACTATTATAGTTATTATATTATTATTGGTTTTATTGGTCTGCATCTGTGCACTACTTGTCTGGCAACATCGGTATGTTACATAAATACAATGTATACTTTTAGAATCAGAGTTAACAGAATGCAGTATTTATTACTATTATTATTTCTCTGATTATTTCTGACTTAGGAATCTTTCTTCAATATTCAGGAAAAGTAGAGAGAATACGAGTTTTTTTTCCCGGAAAGAATGCTAAAAAACGTTAATTAAAATAATTGATTAATTATTTCACATTTTGAAAAGTATCATTGACTCATTTGTCAATCAGTTCCCTTCAAGAGAAGAGCAACTGCAGAGCTGTTCATTCTAGGTAGGGAGGTTGCATAAGATCGAGAATATTCATCGCAGTAATAGATGAATAGATTCATTATTCCTTAAAAGTAAGGTATTTTTGAGACTCGAATAGGTGTTTTAATGAAAAAAAGATCTTTAAAGATGTTCCTGGGAAGGTCATCGTAACAATGGACTTGTTTGTGCTTGAATTTCCCGCAACGATCGTATTCGACCGTATACCGTTGTTTCTTTATGTCGTAATGCCCGACCTGGATTGACTTACTTAATCATTTAGTTCTTTCGATGCGTGTCTTAGCGTAGAAATTATAATTCTTTAAGTGACACAACTAGTATATACTTCTTTTGAATAAATTCTCGACTATTTTAGGCGATTACGACGTATTGAACGGTATTTAACATCTACTGGCCAGCAATTATCCAGAAGCGAACTATGATGTTGATTTTAATTTTAAATGGTGACAATAATAAAACATTTTGATAAGGCACTTTGAATAATTTTTTTTGTTTTATCAAAGCATGCTGCTCAGAAAAACATTTCCAGCGATCGATGACTTTATATAGAATGAGAAAAATGAGGGAAGCTGATCTATGAAAATTCTTACAGAAGATAATCGAAAAAAGGTGAATAATAAAAACAAAGAGAGATTTTTTGTAGAACAAAAGATGTTTAGTGATGCAATACAATTGAAAAAGTCAGAATCAAACATAAGCTACATCGTCAATAGAAGAAAGAAAGCAAAATTCACATTTTTTTTTATGTAATGAAAAAACCTTGCGATTTGATATAAGCAGATAAATATAATAAAATGAATAATCTAAAAATTTCGAACTCACATAGTATTTCAAAGAAGAGATCGATATTTCAATTGCTTTTTCCACAAGGCTTAAGTGTTATCACAATTACATAATACTGAAGTTTTATGAGACACTCTAGTCACATAACAGAATTCCAAAAATTGTGAAGAAGATCTCTCTGAAATATAGAAACCTTCAGGTGCAGATTTTGTTCCACAGATAATACAAAAGTATCTATAGTGTAAAAAGTGTCGAAAACTCCTTTTTCCTCGATATAGTCTCATAAGGACTAGCTCATTGATCCAGTTTATAACGATAAATACAAATTTAGAATGAAATATCTTTCAGTATGTTCAATATCTCGACATATTTGTCGCTTATAAGTCTTTTTAATTGTCTACAAAGTCGACTTCAGTAACATTTCGTTTAAAGACACAATTTTCCATACAGGTCGTAGTTTTCTTAACAATACCAGAGAAGAGGATCTTTTTCATCTAAAATTGTTATACAACGATAGAGTTGCTGGTTAAATATACAGAAAGTACGATAAACTATGCTTTATATATTTCAAAAGAATTTTATTATCGTTCAATCTTAGAAGATAATCGAAAAAAAATGTTCGAAAAATTCAAAATAGTCAAGCTTGGGACATGGTGAAAATTAAGAAAGACACGATACGAAACAATCAAGTACATGGTTTATTATTATTCATACTTGTAGTTTATGAATTGATCTTGATCATCGTCTTGATTTTTCCACAGATGCGGATCGTTGCATTCATAATAATTGTTTAGATTCTGTACATAGACACCAAGCAACATACTGCTCAGAGTGTCATAAGTAGCATAGGCTGAAAGATCTTTACTGAGTTCTTGTCTAATGGTACGTTCACATTGAATTATCTGAGAAATATTGAAGTAGATGAGCAAAGGTGGAAGACCATCAACACAAAATCTTTCCGTATAATTAGATAATTGCACAACAAAAGTATATTGATCAGCAATACCACGAAGGAGACCACCATCACATTTCGGAACATCTCCACGTAATGGATCAAATAATTTTAAGTTGATTCGACATTCGTTGGATAGGAGGCTTTGATTGTATCGAATAAAATCATAACATTCGTACGTGCTAGTCACAGTATGATATATGTCTCGTCTATCAAACAAATAGTTTCTTTGCAGAGGACAACACGTCCATTGAGTTTTCAGCATATTATAATGTTCGCGATACAGACTTCGTGATGCGAACAACGAACGAAGTGGTTGAAACATCTGTCGAATTCGAAGCATATCTGAGTTTACTTTCATTCTGACCGCTTTTTGCTGACGATAAAACAGTTTGTTCTGTGAGATAATATTCGATAATTTACTATTGTAAATTGAAAATAAACTAATAATCATCATGATAATGAACAGATAATGATGTGAAGGCATCCTCTTATGTGAGAAGAAAGAAATGAGTCGCAGTATTGACGAATGAGTGCAAACTATACGATGTTGTATTATGTACATATCAATGATATTTATGCATTATTCTCTTTTTCTTTCTTCCACAGTGCACAATGGGCAAAGAAAAACGAGCAAGAATATCTCTTGATATTTCTATATAAGAATTTTTTGCATTCTTTTCCTTTCTATTCGTAATAATATATCAACAATATTACTTGCAATACATGTAAATCTACATATCAATACAACATACAAATAAAAGAAAAAGCACAAAATGACATACAGATAGTTTTTATTTCCTAAAGAGTTGATTGATACAAACTACGACCTTCTTGAAAAGATATCACTTACGCTGAGACTTGTATCATTCTATTATACTAAATTCTTACATCATTATGTAAGTAATAGTGTATCTTGTTGATAATTGTAACTTTTTCTTTTCTGTTCTATCTTACAATGGCACTCTTTCTCCCTATATGCATAAATAAGAATATAAGACTACCGAAAAAAACATTATCATTAACCATTTGAATATGGATTTATTTGAAAAAAATAAAAAAAGTAGAATTTCAAGTCAATGTTTATCTTTTCAAAATATGCTGACATAAATAACTCAAGATAGTCATCCTTGCATCTTAATACAATATCTTTCGATAATCTCTCGGTTCACTTCAGATTGATAAGTAACCAAATGGAAATTATAATCTTTTCAGTTGATATCAAAAATATCTATTTGCATGTCATATTTA